CTTTCACAACTCTTCCAATGTCATGTAGACTCGCCCTGCCTTCTGTTCATATTCTCTATGGCATACGTCTCTCCTACTCATTATTAGGTGTGAGATTCTAAAGGCATTTATAATCTCTCAATATAGCAACCAGGTACCCAGCTGTAGATAAATGATTTTAAGACATTAAGAGAAATGCTCAGAGATATGCATGACGTAGAATAACATGCAGCCAGTAAAAGAATAAAGCAGATCTGTAAGAGCTTCAGGGAAGGATCTTTATAATGTAGTGTTGAAAATCTCTGATCATAATATAGAAATATGTGCTGCAAATTTTCAACTGTGTTCTCCTGCCTTAGTGGAAGTGAAGGGGGACAATATAGCACTGTGTTCTGACCTTTGTTGTAGAGCTGTGGTGCAGTTATAACCTTAGCACCTACTGAAGTTCAGGTGTAGATCTACAAAGTTTGGATTTATCCAGCTGTGCCTGGCTTGGGTCTGGCTGCTATGTTCAGCTCCTTCCTGCTGCAGCCCTTGGGAGTGATCCTGTTGTGCCCCTCTGGAAAGATGTTCTGCTCCTGGACTAGCTGGGTGGTTCTGTCCCCTACTCTCTCTGCAGGGATCGCAGCTGCAGTGTTTTACCCCAGGCCTGTATTCCAGGCCTGAGCTGAGTCTGAAGGGGACAAGGTGGAGTAGGGGGGAGAGGAAGCTCCCACACACTCACCGGGCCTGGGCTAGGGCTGGATCTGGAGGTCCCAAGAACGTGGCAGAAGTTTGCACTCACTGGGTGGGAGTGGGGGGACTGAGGAGTGGGGGGTCCCAAGGGAGTGGAAGAGGGTCTCACCCATGCTGCACCTGGGCTTGGGTAGCTGGAAACTCTCCCACACACTCACTGGGCCTGGGCTAGGGCTGGATCTCGAAAGGAGACAAGAGTAAAGAAGTTTTCACTTATTTTCAATGCTTGGGTTCTGTCTGAATAGTTTTCTACAAATTCAGGACACCACAATATTGAAACAAGACTTTGTTGTTTTTTTAATTTAAAAAAAAAGAGTATACATTCACTCTCTATAAGAAACTTTTTAATTCTCAAATTCGGAATCTGCACCTTGTCCTCTGATAGATTAGGTACCTGTCTCTATCATAGCCTCTAGAGAACCTTCTGCCTCATAACCTAGACCCTCAACAAAGCTCAGAGGAGTCCAAAATGTGGCCACTGATAGGTAAGAGACAAATCACTATGCTCTAGGCAACCTTTTATTATTATTTTTTTTTTATGAATTTCAGGGCAGGGTCACAGGGTCTCACTACATAGATCAGACTCATAGTGATTCTCCTATTTTCAGGCTCCCAAGCACTGGAATTACAGGTGCGTGCCACCACACCCAGTCTCAATCACCCTCTCAGCATGCTCAGAGGGTGGGGCCGGCACAACAAGCTGGGGATCAAGCCCTGGCCCCTGCCTCTGCCTAAGCAGGCGCTTTAATCCGCTGAGCTATCTGGCCAGCCCCCTCCCTAGGCAACCTTGATAGAAGATGAAAATCATAATTCCCCCTTCCTACCAATCCCACAGGAAGTTCATAATGAATTATGTAATGAAACAACAAACTTACACTGCAGAAAAGAAATCCTGCAAAACTAGTGATTATAGTTAAGTATGCAATGTGGATCATTCACCCTAACCTGCTTGGGCTTGCTTGCAGGTCCTGGAGCGTGAAGAGGCTTTGATAAAATTACGAGCAGATTTTGCTTCCTACACAGCCACACACAGGCATCCTCCTAGCTCATCAGAAGACTGCGAAGACGTAAAAACGGTGGGCGCTCTTTTCCTTATTCATGTCTGGTGAGATCAGGGTGTGCTGGATCTGCCTGTGGGGTTTCCTGGTTGGTTGGTTGGTTGGTTGGTTGGTTGGTTGGTTGGTTGGTTGGCTGGTTGGTTTGCTTGCTACTGGGAATTGAACCCCGGGCCTTTGCACTGAGCTTTAGCCCCAGCCCTTTTAATTTTTTCTTTTAAAACAGGGTCTTTCTAAGTCATTAAATTGCCCAAACTGGGTCTGAACTTGCAGTCTTCCTGCCTCAGCCTTCCAGAATACTACAATTACAGATGTGCATCACCACACATGGCTTTTCTTGTTATCTTTTGCTTTTAATATCATAGTTTATTTTTGTATGACCTTGGTTGGCCCTGCCACAAGGGTACTCTGTATAATATATGGTAAGTCCCAAAGATTGTGACAGTATTAGATATTCCTACTAGTTTGGTTGATTCAGCTCTGAAGGAATTGGACCATCTAGCCTTCTAGCAGGAGTTGAAAAGTTACAAACATGAGAAATTAGTAACGCAAGTTCATTACTTTCTTTAGCAAAATCTGTAAAATTCAAAACAGTACCAAGAATTGATTCTAAGCTGGGGGACACATTGTAATCCCAACACTCTGGACTGAGGTAGGTGGATTGCAAGTTTGAGCTCAGAAACACATATAAGCTCTCCGGCGGGTCCTCCAGTGGGGAGACAGAGACTGCTCATTTCAGGTCTTCCAATCCCAGAAAGCTGGGTGAGATGAGGATACAATAGTAAACCTTGCAGTTCACCTTAGAACTACAAATATCTGCTCATGTCCAACATCAGTTCCATGTTATTCTTATCCTGACCTACAGGAAGACCTGGTAACAGTCCTGTTTTAAATGCTGCTGACTTCTCTGTGAAATAAGATGTACCTTTCCCCATGATTTTGTTCTGTATGCAAAGTCATCATGCTCCCTGGATATTCTGCTAGGACTGCAGGGATCCCTGTCACAGCTTCTTCCAGCAGTCCTCTCCCCGCCTCAGTTAACAACACAGCCCCTGCAAGGCCATACTAGGTTGTGTGGTGACTGTCTCCTACTTCTCCAGCAGAACCCCTTGGTTCACATTGCAGCTGTCCTTCCTGCCAACACTGAGCTCACACAAACCTCTTTCCCAGCATCCTCTGAGGCCTGGGCAGTTAGTTATGTCCCTGCCTCCTCTGAGTGAGGAAGGAATTCTCTCATCCTTCAGAATAGAAGCCATAGTTCTTGCAGAGGGACAACCAGCCTGGAACAATGTGGCCACCCACAGCTCCCACCTCATCTCTTCCTACTGTGCTAGGCCTTTCCCACCCTATCTCCACTCATCTTCCCTCCAAGACCTTGCCACTGGCTGGCTGGTCTACTTGCAAAGCGCTGCCCTCTGATGCCCAGTGTGGCTCGCTCCCGCTATTCCTGAGCCCCTGCTCAGAAGCCCCCTTTTCAGTGAGACCAATTTAAAACTGTGACACACAAGCCCACCCCTACCCCTGCCCCTCAAGCCCCTTTTGCTCTTTTATTTCTCCCACAGTACTTGTTAATGTTTAACATTTTCTAGACTGTACTATCCTTGCCAGCTCTGTGCAGGCAAGGACGTGTGTCTCTGTTGGTTGCACGCCTGTCCTCAGCACCTAAGCCTGTACCTGGCATACAATACAGGCTCCATGGATGACTGACTACTATGTGGAGGAAAGGGTGGTTTCTTTTGTGTGCACCTTGTATGATATGAGAAGTCTGTTGTATCCATTTTTTAAATATCATTTAAATCAATATATAATTGACAAGCCATAAAATTCATTTTTGCTTTTCAAAGCAAATTCAATGTTGCTTTTTAGTATATTCAGGGGGTTGGGCAACCACAACCACTCTCTAATTCCAGGACATTTTCCAAGGAAATCCCACACCATTTGCAGTTGCTCATCACCCTCCTGCCACAGCCTTTGGCAACCCCTGTCCTACTTTCTGTCTCTCGGGGGTTGGGACTTCTATCCGGGACACCTGCCCTTGAGGACCAGTTCTCCATCCCTCCCTCCTCCCCCGCCCAGGGCCCTCACCCTACCCTCGCTCCTCTCCACTGCCAGATCCTGAAGCACCTGCAGGAGCAGAAGGACAGCCAGTGCCTGCATGTGGAAGAGTACCAGAACCTCGTGAAGGACCTGCGCATGGAGCTGGAAACCGTGTCGGAGCAGAAGAAAAACATCATGAAGGGTAACGGAGGCAGGCTGGAGCCAGGGAGCCCGAAGGAGCAGAGGCCTCTGGGCAGAAAGCAGCGCCCTGTCTTGCCCTCCCCCTGCAGACATGATGAAGCTGGAGCTGGAACTGCACGGGCTGCGGGAGGAGACCTCCGCCCACATTGAGAGGAAGGACAAGGAGGCCGCCATCTTGCAGCACCGGCTGCAGGAGCTGCAGCTGCAGTTCGCAGAGACACAGAAGCTCGCTTTGAAGAAAGACAAGGTGAGGCACCGTTAGGGCAGGCATGAGGCAAGGCCAGGCTGTGCCTTCCCGCCTCCCGCGACGGCCTGGGCAGCCTCATCCCGGCCCAGCAGGACTGAGCACCCGGGGGCCAGGCTGTGCCTTCCCGCCTCCCGCGACGGCCTGGCAGCCTCATCCCGGCACAGCAGGACTGAGCACCCGGGGCCAGGCTCAGCTTAGGACTGTCTCAGACAGATGAGTGTGGTCATGGCCAGACCATGACGGAAGCACAGAACCCATAAAGCAAGGTTCTTCCCCAGCCCTGCAATGTCTGAAAAGAATTTGGGGCCCATTTCCTTGCACTGCCCCCCTTGTACCTTTTTATGCTTCAGAGCGGGAGGAAATCCTCTAAAATAATACATACTCTTATTAAAAACTTCACCTTTTAAAATTAGAAATATCTGGGCTGGGGGTTTAGCCCAGTAGTAAAGTGCTGCGTAGCAACCTCTAGGCTCTGAGGTTGATCTGCAGCACTACCAGAAGACCCACGGCTTACAAATACAGAAATTCTGCAGCTTGAAAGAGTTAAGGGCACTGTGCCCTGGAGACCTGTGGTTGCTGGCATGAATCAAGTTGCTGAAAAAAGCCTAGAAGTAGAAGCAAGAACAGAAGAGTCGTGAAGCCAGTGCAAGTGCTTAGAGTTAGCACTGTTCCAACTTTGACCTTTTATCAGAGCTATTAAAAGTAATCCAGTTGAGGGCCAGCCAATTAGCTCAGCAGATAAAAGCACCTGCTTAGGCAGACACAGGGAGCGGGGTTCGATCCCCGGCCTGCCGTGCCCACCCTGCCCCTGGAGCATGCTGAGACAGCAATTGAGACCAGCTCTTGGGAGGCTGAACACAGGCAGATCACTATGCGTCCAGTCTACAGGGTGAGACCCTGTAGACACCTTACTAAAATAATAAAGAAATAAATGTAATCCAGTTGATGGACTAGCTAGCTGCTAAAGCCTTTTGCTTCAAAGGATGGAGGAGACACAACAGACACAACGAGGCATCTGGAAAGATGGTAAACTGAAGCAAGGCATCGGGATAAACAGCTGAAAGTTATTTGCATATTCTGTCAACAAATATTCTTGAGCATTTACACTATGCCAATTTTTGTTCTAAGCCCCAAGAGTATAACAAAACGTATGACATCCATGCTGTCATGGAGAGACAAACAATAAACAAATAACAAAATTAATGTCACACAAACATATCAATGCCAGGAACCAACGAATTCCTAATGCTTCCTGGTTGCTACTTTACGTATGCTATAGTGGCCATGGAAGGCTTTTCTGGTAAAATGAGAGCGGGTCAGAGATTGGAAGTGAGAGACCGCAGCAAGATCTTGAGAAAGGCAGAGGGCATGGCAAGTGCGAAGGCCCTGGGGTGGAGCCTGCTTGGGCTGCTCCACGAGGCCAGCTCAGGCCAAGAGAGTGGGGGTGGCCAATGGACAGGCAGCCCACGTGGGGCCAGAGCATGAGCACCTCACAGAGCCCTGAGGATCTGGACCTTTTTTATTTTATTTTTTTTCCATAATTTTATTGAAAAACAAATAGCAGTGAGACAGTAATTAACACATTGCATACATTCTTCCTAGTGGTTAATTGCTGTACAAGATGCGGACATGATTGGACCTTTTTTAAATGAGATGGAAGCCAGAAAGGGTGTTGAGCTGAGGCAGATGATCTGACTTGCACTTTTAACACACACACACACACACACACACACACCGCCGCCACCACTACTTTCTTGAGAATATCCCAAGTGACCACGTTGGTAGCAAGGAGCACACAGGGAGGAGGAGGTTCTTGCAGCATCCAGGGAAAAGATGGCCGTGGCTTGGACAGGGCTGGAGAACAGTCTCTAGCTGATTCCCCTGCCACTGCTCAGGCCTTTCGCAGCATCCCTGCTTTGATCTTCTCAGTTCCTCCAAGAGAAAGATGAAATGCTGCATGAGCTAGAGAAGAAGCTGGGCCAGGTTCAGAGCTGTCTCAGGAAGAAGGAGATGGAGGTGGAGAAGCAACAATGTATGGTGAAGGAACTCGAAATGACCATGAAGGAGACCAAGCAGGACGGGAACAAGGTGGAGTGCGAGGCCCTGCAAGCTGAGGTCCAGAATCTCAGGGACAGCCTCGAGGAGGCCCAGCAGCAGCAGAGGCTGGCAGGTGAGGCCCCACAGGCACTGCCCTACCCCCTCCTACCAGCAGGCTGGAGCAGCCTCCTCCTCCAAGTGGACCCCTCCTTGCCCCACTCTACCCCTTCTCATCTTACATCCCATAGCTGTTAACACCACCATCGCCATCGGGAGGTTCTCTCTGCCCCCTTAGCTCCCCTCCTCTCAGAAGGCTTTCCCACAGTTTGGGAGAGGAGCTGCTGAACTCACAACCACCAATTTCTCAATGTTGTCAAATAAAGATCCCACCCCTTCCTGGCCACAGGGAGGGCAGGGCTCTGCATTCGCCTTTGCAGCACATCCCTCTCCACCTTCTCCATTTCCCTCAACACAACTCACCCCTTCTCTGCCTGGTTTTAATTCTCTCCTCCAGACACATTCATAGCTTTCACTGGAGCTTAGTCTTGCTCCTCTGTGGAGACTGCATTCTTTTTTTTTTTTTAATGTATTTGGTACAGGGTCTTCCTATGCAGCTTGACTCATAGTGATCCTCCTGTTTTCAGCCTCCCCGGTGCTGGGATTACAAGCATGCACCTCCACCCCTGGGTGCGCTGAGCCAACCACAGAGTTCAGGTGTAGTGGCACATGCCTATAATCCCAGCGCTGGGAGGCTGAAAACAAAAGGATAAGTCTGAGTTGCATAGTGAGACCCTGTAACAACCAAATAATAATAATAATAATATATATATATATATATATATATAAATTATCTATTTTAAAGAGTAAGTTTTACATTAGGTGATTATTAGTTTAAGAAGTTCCCAAGCTTGGCTTCCTCCCTCACCCTTCCCTAACTGTCTCCTGACATTGTTAGGCAGTCACATTCAAGTCTCGGTCTCAGCTGCTTCTTCCACAAATCTTATCACTGGTTTCTCTTTCTCCCTCCTGCTCTGACTGTCACCATGCCCCCCCCCCCGTCTGTCCGCTCACTCCTCCTCACAGCTGTGTTACTCTGATGATGACTCCAAAACATGGAGCCCCGGCACTGGCCGTCAGTCTTCTCTTCAGAGAACAACCTCCCCTGGGCAGCCCATCCTCACCCCTCACTCAGCACTTCCAACACCAAACCCACTCTCTCCACTGCTTAGAAACATCACCCTGCCCCCTTCTCCGAGGCACGTCACTACTTCAGCAGTGATGCCCTCCCTCTCCCTCTGCTGGGGAACATCCAGGAACAACAGGGGAAAGTGGCAATGGCAGTAGGAACTGCAGGGTGAGGGAACACATCTGGGGTAAAGAAACCCAGTGAGCAACTTGTGGAGATGCTTTTCCCTCAGGGGAGGCAATGACATGGGATGGAAGGATGCTGCTGGGAGCCTTTCTCAGATGTACTCCATTTTTCTTAGGCATGCTGTCCCTGTACCAGGTATCTGTTCACTGTATCAAATCTAAATGTTTCTCTTAGGTTTTTAAAGTCCATGAAGCCCTCTCTTATCCACCCAGTTGCTGACTCTCTAGCCTATTACACTCTTTGGCCCCTTATCCCACCCATTTTCCTTTCCAATCAAATTTCCAATCAAATCTGGCCTCCACATTTCTCCTTGATTCCCCTCCCCATACATGTGTTCTTATAGTTGCCCACCTGCAAGTCTCTCCTACTCCCTTCTCTAAGGCTCCACGTCTTTCCTCCCACAAGTCCATCTCCAGCTGTCCTAACCCCTTGGATCTCTCTTCCAGAGTTCACTATCGATGTGAGCTTCACACACCTGAGTTCTCAGGCTTGGAATGGAGCTCAGTGGTAGAGCAGTTATTCTACATGCACAAGGCCCTCAGCACTAAAACTAAGCATATAAATACCATCTATTTTCTCTATGAGAAGGGCTCATTATAATTCCCCCACCAAAAGCTAAACCCTGCAAGGGTCAGGATTTGTCCCTAATGATAAGTCACACAGGAGATGCAGCGTAATTTCTACCAATCTCCCTCCTGCTCTGCCTGCCCCGCCTTCTCCCCATCTATCCTCTTGCTCTTTGGAGAGCTCCACTCATCCTCATAGCTGTGTTTTAGTGAAGAAGCAATCTGGCTAGAAGGTAGTTAAGAACAGATAATTAACAGAGCTCCTTAGAGCCAGTAGGAAACAAAGTGAAGGCAGGTTGGGAATTAAAGTGGCTCCCACCATGAAGGACAGACTCTCTAGCCAGTTTTACTTGAGAATCAGATCTTCACACCTGCTCCTTCATACACGGACACATCCCGGCTTGTCTCCTGGCTTCTGCAGCTCAGCAAGCAGCACAATATAAGGAAAAGGCCAGGCTGGCAGAGAACAGCCTGGAGGATGCTGAGAAGAAACTGAAGAACTTTATTTACCAGGATAAGCAGAAGGAAAACACCATCCAGGAGCAGCAACGAGAGCTGCAGAAGCTGCAGAAGGAGTCCTTACAGGCTAAAGAAGAACTCTTACGCCACAGGTACCTCTGGCTCACCTCCAGAGAGCTGCTGTGACCCTGGGAGCCAGCCAGGACCACTGTGGGCAGCTGCTAGGGGTGGGAAGGCAGGGAGTCCCCGAGGGGCCAGCTGCACTTGGCCAACATGGGCCCTAATGTCTGTCTTGCTGTTGCCATTTTACTTTAGGAAACAGGTGGAGGAGCTAACCTCAGAACTCGCTGAGGCCCAGAAGAAGTTGGAAAATGCAGACAAGGAAAGGAAGCAGCTTCAGAAGATGCTGGCTGAGGAGGAAGTAAAAATGAATGAAATGCAAGATCAGAACAGACACCTTCAGCACCAGGTAGGCAGGGCAAGGAGGTGGCCAGCTGTGGCATCTGCCCCGCCTGTGCCAAATGTAGAGGTCTTTATTTGGGAAGATGTCACCCCCCCAGTCCACGCAAACGGATTATCTAGGATTTATGTTAGAATACTACCCCAGCCACTCTGCAAAACTCCTGTGACCAGTAGCAAGCATCTTCCAGAGTTAAACACAAAAATAATCAAAGGATACACTGCTCTTTCTGGGATTCAAAAGCCATCCTTGCCGGTCAATTCAAAGTCTTTGATCTCCGGAATAGTCTTCTTGTGCTTTTTAAAGATTGCTTAACACTTTATTCAAAGAGGTTTTTGTGTCAAAAGATTTGGTAAGAGGGAGAGAAAGCTTATGCTGTGGAAATTGGATCTATAAATAAAGTAAGTTGGTCTAATTAAACAAAGAAAAAATGTTGCAGAACATCAAAGCAAACTTTTTATTACTCACACTAGAAAACTAAGAAATTATCCTCACACTCTTTTCAGCCTTTCCCTGGGTGCCAGTGGGTGGATTTCTTTTCTAAAATATAATACAGTGTAGGTTGCTACCAGCCCAGTCTTTATTTTCCCAGCACAGGGACCTACTGTCTGCCAAAAACAAGCTGGAAGATGAGCTCCAGGAGGCCAAGAGACTAGTGGAAGAGAAAAAAGACCAGTTGAAAAAGAGCAAAGAACAGGGGAAGTTGCTGGAGGAAGAACTCGAGACTCTTCGACAGGAAGAAAAAAGAAAGGAAAAGACGGTGAGGAGAATCGTGGAAGAGCTTGACAAGGAATCCAGAGCCAGGCGTGGAGCTAGCTAGAGCCAGGCATGGAGCTAGCTGGGCCAGGAGGGATGCGGAGGCCAGGGATACTCAGAGCCCAGGAGGGAAGGAGGGTAGGCAAGGGAACAAGGAGGCCCAGGACACCACGGTGTAGCCAGGCACCACATGGGGAAGGAAGCAGGAGTGCTGACAGCAGTCTAAGGTTAACTCTCTTCTGGGCTTTACTCTTTAATTGGAGAATAGTTTAAAGAGAATATGAGAAAGCTAGAAGGGGAAAACGAGAATCTCCGAGAAGAGATAGTGCGGTATTCTACGCAACTGGAAGCCTCTATCAGCAAGTACAACGCCAGTCAGCAAGTCATTCAAGAGCTGAACATACAGGTAGGTGGCGAGGGAGCCCCGAGGGGTGAGGAATTTGCACCCTATGACAACTGGCTTGAAATCTGCTGCCTGTGTTTCCTCCACCATAGCAGTGCAACTAAGCCAACTGCATGTGATGGCTCCCGCAGGCTCACCTCTCCCTTACAGTGGAGGGTGGCCCTCAGGGCCTGGTTTCGGAGCCAGAAAAATGTTTCTTTCCTAGGTGGAAAGTCTTATTTCATACCCAGTGGGCCATAAGTTTCCAGGACAGATGTAAAAGAAACATCTGCCTCTGAATTGAGAGGGCATGACTGACCAAAGAATGACTCGGGTCAGTCCCACTTGCGAGTAAATGAGTTCATGAGGGGTTATTTGTGGAGCAGTGGGCAACCCAAGCGCTGCAACACTGCCTAAGTCACCAACCTCCCCTTGCTAAGCTACTGGTGGTTTTGGTTTTTTGTTTTTTGTCTTTTTGAGACAGGGTCTCGCAATGCAGTTCAGGCTGGCCTTAAGCTACCTTTGTACCCCAGACTGGTCTCAAACTCACTCCTGAGTACACAGACTATAGGCATGCGCCATCACACCTGGCTTAAGCTACTGGTTTTATAGGGCTCCAGGGTAAACAGCAAAAAGCAGAAACAAAGGACTATAGAGGCTTTGGGGAACATCAGTCACCATCATCAAGCACTTACAATGGTAATAGTTTCTCTGGTGACTCCCCTGGCTTACTGCAGACCCAGATGATTCTGTGGTTTGGTCCTGTCTGGTTTGGTTTGGTTTAGTCTGGCCTGGTTTGGTTTGGTTTGGTTTGGTTGAGAAATTCCTATGGGAAAAAAATGCTTCAGGAAGAACAAATTATTTCATATTTAGTAATCATTTCATCACTTGGGCATGTAAAATAAAGGGTTAAAAGTCCAATTTAATACTTTTCATCTCACTAGTTCCTAGGGTTGAAGATATTCAGCATTCACCTGAAAATGTAATAATACGTTCATTTAGCACTGAGCAGTTACTGGATACAAAGCAAGAAAACTCAAAGGAGTGTTTTGTGTTCTTGGCCACAGTAGGACGCAGCCGCACTAGAATACCAAACAACAAAAGCCTGGCATAGGGCTCTTCAAGACTTCCCTCCTATTTCCAGACTTACAAACAAATCTCTGTCCTGGAGTTAAAGTATACAAGACTGGCCCTCATGTTCATGGTAACAACTCACAGCCATACAGCAGTTGGCATCTTACAAAACACTGTTCATCTCATTGGTCATCACAAACACTGTGCGAAAAGGTCAAAATTACTGTATCCCAATTTGTGGGAACAGAAACTGAAGCCAAAGAAATAAGCACATGCGAGAACCTGGCCTGCACCAGATCCTTGAACCTCAGATCTCAGCTCCCTTCTAAGAATACTGTGAATACCCACCTAACTTTAAGATATAAAGTTGTTTTTAGGCAAACATCTGCTAGAACTGTGTGTTCAACTGATCTCTAACTTCAATAATATTTAGATCTTTAACTCTAAAACATGTAATATTTCATTCAGGCATTTTTTTTAATGTAGTATTCATCACATACCTATTATGTTCCGTGCTCTGAGCTATAGCCATAGAGGAACAGCAATGAACAAGACACACGCCCGGCCCCACTTGCACAGAGCACACTGTCTAGTGGGTTATGTCATGAGCTAGGGAGAGCATAAAACACAAATGCCAGGCTACGTCTATAACCTAGAGCTGGATTCCAAATCAAAATCGAAAGTCACAGAGCCCGTGAGTGGGATTTTTTGTATAGTTGGCATGCCATGCCCTAGTACTTCCAATGCTTCCTGTATTTGGAGGATGTGCTAAATAAAACAGGAAAGGTGGTGGAGGGATGTAAGAAAGCCTAGAAAGACAGCTTTACATTTACAGCAGTGAGTTAGAGATGGGAGTATATACAGACTGCTCTGAGGGTTCTTGTGGAGACCAGAGAGCTGAGCTTTTACCTACTTCCAATAGTAAGAGTATTTTGTGACTGGAATCTGGGATCCTAACAGAGTGATTTTTTTTTTTTTTCCGGAACCGGGGATTGAACTCAGGCCCTTGCACTTGCCAGGGAAGCGCTTATTCCACTGAGCCATCTCCCGGCCCCTCAGAGAGTGATATTTTTGCTCCCCAAAGATATCCCACCAGAAGGAGTCCATAACAAGCCTGCAAGCCAAGCTAGAGCAGGCTGTGCAAAAGGAGAAGCATTATCTCCAGACCATGGTCACCAAAGAGGTCTATGAAGACCTATCCAGGAAGTCAGCTGCCTGCCAAGATGACCTCACACAGACGCTGGAGAAGGTGAGGCCACACACTCGCAACTCCTGGGTAGTTTTCAGCCAAAACAGAGGATGTTGTGAGGGTTGCAAATGCCTGTTTCTTGCATGACTGCCTATCTCTGAGGCATCTCAGAGCTTACCTGGGCTGGGATATCTGTCCACAGAAGGCCTGCTTCTTCTTAGTGAGGCTTTTTGGGTACCGGGTTGGGGGAAGTGGACAAAGATGGAAGCCAAATCTAACAAATCTTTCCAAGTCACATGGGTGATTTGGGAGCAAAGTTTTTCCAAAGCCAGGGCCGTCAGGGAAATTCACACCCCATCCTTGTGCTGATCATGCACGTAGGTTGATTCATTGGATTGGAAAATAAGAAATGGGGCAAGGAATAGAAGACTGGGGGTGGAAGGCTACAGGAAAAAAACAACTGTCACTTCCCACCCCTTTCTGGAAACCTAGGCAAGGTGACTATCTGCACAGAGGGAGAGACAGACAGACAGACAGACCCAGGGCAGAGCACAGGGAGGGACGGGAACCTTTTCCATGCAGGACCAAACGGAAAGGCCCCAAGCACCGTGATGACCACTCTCATCCCCTTTGTCTTTGCTGAAAGCTCAATCATGCAACCTCAGAGACAAAGAGCCTGCAGCGAAACTTGTTACAGACCCAAGAGAGGAAAGCTCAGCTGGAAGATGAAATTGTTGCTTATGAGGACAGAATGAAAAAGCTCAATGTGGAATTAAGAAAATTGCAAGGCTTCCACCAGGAGAGTGAGATCGAGGTAAGGAGGAGCTGCTTTCCTACTGGGGGTTCACAGGGTCACCTTTTGTATCCAGAATTATTTAGCGCTAAGCCCTACCCTTTGGCTAATGGGTTCCCGTCACTTCTTTGACTCCTCAAACTTCAGACAGACGCGGCAAAGATCAGAGCAGGGGTGCCCTCTGCTGGCCACTAGGAATAAAATGCCCCCAACAAGGCCAAGGTTGAGAAGGCACCCTTTGTCTTTGTCCCCGTGTCCTCCGGGCTCAGCCTCCCCACTCTGCTCTCCTGCGCAGGTGCACGCCTTCGACAAGAAGCTAGAGGAGATGAGCAACCAGGTGATGCAGTGGCAGAAGCAGCACCAGAACGACCTCAAGATGCTGGCCGCCAAAGAGACCCAGCTCAGGGAGTTCCAGGAGGAAATGGCCACCCTGAAGGAGAACCTGCTTGCAGATGAGAAGGAGGTGGGCACTTCTGCAGCTTCCTCCTGATCCCTCCTGACGCAACCCATGGTCCCCCAGGCATCAGACTGCCCTAGCGGCGTCACAGTGCTGGGAGCGAGGAGAGGACACCCCTCCCCACTCCAGCACATCTCACAGTGGCCCTAGGCCCTTGATTCAAATGAGAAAGAAGCCATCTCTTCCTCGGGATATTTTTTTCTTACACCTGTTTAAAAAAAAAAAAAAAAGCTTAGCACTCTTTGTAAGAGCAAGTAACTGACTGCCTTTGGCCCAGAAGTCATTATTTTAAGTGAACAGATCTGCTGTGTCTGCCATAACTTGTGCCACCTCCAGGTAGAGAAGCAGGCGTGGCCGCTCGGCGTAGCTCAAACGGCAGAGTAGATGTTGCTTCTCCCACAAAGGGAGGAAAGGTCTAATGTGGGAAGAGAAGGGTGACAGGTCTGCGCTCCCATACTCTGACTGTCTCAATTCTTTCTTGTATGAAAGCCCTGCTGCCTGCCCGCACAGTCTGTGCCCAAAGACCCCTGCAGACTCCACCGAGACAACGATCAGATTATGTCCAACATGGAGCAGTGGGCCAAAGAGCAGAAGTGAGTAAAGGGCAGGTTCCCAGGCCCAGGCAGAGGCACGGAGCCGCACGCGTGCCAGCAATTAGAAGACAGACTCACTGCGTGCGTGCACGTGCGCACACACACACACACTCACACACACTCACACACCCTGCTCTGCTGGGAAACTGGTCCCAGCTCAGCCTACCCACAAGGATTGAGAATGAGAGGGAGAGGGCCTGGCTCTCCCAGCAGGTTTGGAAAGTCCTGTCACATGGGCTAGAGCAGCACTGAGATGGAAGGGAAGGGGCGCTTCCATCTGTGAGGTCCGATTTCCTCTTCCGACCTGGGACTTAACTCATTCCCCTGAACTCAGGGATTGTACGCAGCAGCCCAGTACCAGAGAGCCCACGGGCTGGACGGGCTCGAAACCTAGGACAGGGCCATGGAGGCACGTGAATCCAGGACCCGGCAGGAGCCTTGCCAAGAGCATCCATGTCCCAGCCAGTCAGGGAGCACCCATCCTGCCCACAGGAGTCTGCGGACCCAGTCACTCTTCTCCTCTGTGGCTTCTGTTACAGGATTGCCAATGAGAAACTGGGAAACAAGCTCCGTGAACAGGTCAAATACATCGCTAAGCTGACAGGTGAAAAGGAGTAAGTCATCCACCCACACACACACCTTGCCCTCAGCCCTCCCCAGGCTGCTGCTTGGGACCCAATGAGCAGGGGTGGCTTTGTCATTCAATATGTGGCCGGATCCAGGAGAAAGGCATAGCACATTGGACAGCGGCTCCAGTACTGAATCTACATCTGTGTGACAGAGGGCACATTGTGTGCGCTTAGTAAGCCTAAATTCCCTTCCAGAAGTACGGGGGCGGGGAGGTACAACAAGGTCCATGCTCTTTCCTCCTCCACCCGGTATTCCTGGGGGACTGCTGAGAGGAGAGCAGCCACCACAGGGCAGGTGGCACTGGTCAGGATGGGTGAAGCTGCTGTCACAGAAATCCCCAAATGAAGGCACGTGGAAAGAATGTCTTCTCATGCAAAAGCAGCAAGGGGCAAGCAACCAGGGACCCTCTTCCTGTCCCATATATCTTATCTAGACCTCTCACCCTTAGGATGATAGCACTCAAACCTAGGGTGGGGCACCCTTAATCCTACCCATAACTCTTCCAAACCATCAATGGACTAATTTAGTAGTCATGCACCTTTGATCCCAGCACCCCATACTCTGGATGTAGCCACCTCTGAAAATCCCCACCTATAACTACATGAGGTTTTGGGGGGACATCTAGGCACAAACCATAACAGGTTAAATACCTGGTATGGAGATTTGGGGATGTGAGGGAATCGATGATGACAAGTCTTAGGATAGTGCTCCCAAGATTTTGTCAGAATGCTTAGTAAATGCCAAGGTGTTTGGCACACAAGGACAGTCTGGCATGGGCTTGCTTGGGACCAAGAAGCAGCTGCCCCAAACCCTGCTCCAAGGATGGAAGGTGTCTTGGGACGACTGGAACCCACCTGTAGCTCCCAGTTGCTAAGTTCTCTCCCCAGCTGTGGCCTTAGGTGAGGTAAACTGAAGGGGAGAACATGACTGCAACAAGTGGGTCAAGGACCCAGAAGCCACGACATGGGTGGGGAGGGTGGCATACTCAAGAGGTCGGACATGAGCGCAGCAGAGAGTGACAGAGAGCCAGGGACCAAGGCTGTGCCGCACCCCACCTCCAGCAGAGAAAGGGGCATGTTCAGAGATGGCCAGGTTATAAAGAGAAGGGAGTGACGCGTACGCCCAGAGAAGAGGCTGAGGTGTCACTTCTTTGATTTTCTCCCTAAAGGAATGTGACATTTTCACTGGACAAAAGAACATTTTCCAAGGAGATTAACTAAACATTAGCACAATCTGAGAAGTATCAGATAATTTCAGGCTTTTTCTTATTTGGTACCAAGTTCTAAAAAGTTCTGATTCACAAAGAACTCATTTTTTAGTTTTGCTTGATCCTACTTGAAGGAAATCTCACTTTCTGTGTTTTTATTTTGTCTTAGGTACTAGAGATTGAACCCAGGTCCTTCACACTGAGCTATATCCCCAACTTTTTAAAAAATATCTTACAATTAAGTAACTAAGTCACTTTTTAAAAAATTTTTAAGTCACTTTTTATAATATTTCTTTTCACTTAGTTGCCTGGGCTGGCTTCAAACCTGTGGTCCTCCTGCGTCAGCCTCCCAGAGCGCTGGGACTACAGCCACGCACCCCCACCCTGAGCCGCCATATTTTAATGTTACTAGTAATGCCTCAAGTCATTTATTGTTTAGCACATGGTCTAAGTGCTTTAGCTACATTAGCCTCCCTAAAACCTTATCACTTCAACAGAGAGAAGTTCCTTGACTTAAGATGGGGTATTCTGGGATACCCCAGAGAATATCCAAATGAAAATGCATTATGCACCTCACCTACCAAACATGACTGCTCAGCACACGGTGCCCTGCGGAGCAGCAGTCATTTCCCTTCAGGATCCCCTGGTGGATCAGGTGCTGCGGCTCACCAACGTCTCGAAAGCCGATCCTACTCCATAGCATTAATTGAAAAATCCCAGGCACCATTTCTACTGAACATGTACCATTTGCCCACCACTGTGAAGCTGGTAAGTCAGGGGCTATCTGGAAATACAGATGCCATTTGGAGGTGAGGAACTAGAGGGTTAGGTAACTTGGCCCTGGTCTCACAGTTAGTAAGTGGCAGGGCCAGAACCCCAACTCTAGAAGTCCTGGTTCGGAGCCCACTGTCAGCCCCTGCTATCAACATTAGTTTGGAGAAATAGGACTATAGATAATAGCTGTCATTTACTGAGCCATGGGAAATAGGTTAGATATGTCCCCTCACCTACACTGCAGCCTCTGTTTCCTCATATTTACAATGGAAACAATGAGCTACTCAGGAGTCTGAGTCAGGAGAATCACAAGTTCGAGACTAGCCTGGGTAACTTAGTGAAACCTTGTTTCAAAATAAAAAAGGGCTGGGGATGTAGATCCAGGAGAGAGCAATTGCTTAGCAAGTACAAGGCTCTGGGCTCAATCCCCAGGACCACAAAAAAAAAAAAAAAGGAAATTTGCCTGATTACTCCACGGAGCCTATATATCTATGCTCCTGCTCTTCAGCAAAAGGAGCCAGTCAGTCAAGCACTCGAGAACTCGGTGTTAACTCTGGACGAGGCTTTCCTAGGAACGACTGTGAGAACCCAAGGACCCTGGCTCAGAACTCTTCTTAGCCTTCTGACTCTTCCAACCTCTTTCATGTGTGGGGCTGGACCATACACGCACTCCAATGTGTATGGTCAGGCTCAACTGTGCAGGTCAGGCTCAACTGTCCCCATCCAACAGATACACCCCAGTCCCAGAGCTGCCAGCGTGCGCAGGGCGTACACAGCAGCCTCTGTGTCCACGCAGCATCAGAACCCAGCTCCCAAAGGCACTGAGCGTCCACGCCCCTTCCTTCATACACCTTTATCAGTTCTTTCCAGCAGGGACTCAGGCAGATCAAGCGTACCGAACACCAACCCGTCCCTTCCTCCCCTCTTCACAGCCACCTCCACAACGTGATGGTCCACCTGCAGCAAGAAAACAAGAAGCTAAAGAATGAGATAGAAGAAAAGAAAATGAAGGCTGGGGCCACGAGGCTGTGCAGAGCCCTAGGCCCGAGCAAACTGGAGCCCATACAAAGGGGGAAAGTGTGTGGTGCGTTGGGCTGGAGGGAGACCTCCCAGGACACAGGCCAGAGGATGGACCTCACCAAGTATGTTGGAGTGCCACCGTGTTCAGGTGCGTCTGCCATGTCCTTTGTTCTTAATGTCCCCCTTTTGAGTCCCAAGCACCAAAAAACCAGTGTGATGTTATTTTTTCAAAGATCACTGGAATAGGAATTTACAGAAGAAGAAAATAGGTCAGTCATGACCTCAAGTCCCTGGCTTAACTACCCTGGACCAATGATAATGGTTTCCACATCTGCACGGGAAGAAAGCAAATTAAAGCCAATTCTGGCCTAAGAATGCTGGTGATAGATACCCTAGGACCTCAGATCTCAGATCCATCCCCTCCCCTGACCCAATTTTTGTTTTGGAAATGTGGGCAAAGGGAGAATAGGCCTCACCCTCCAGTTCTGAGACCCCACACGAGCACCCCATCCCCACCCAGCCTGGGTTCACAACTGCTCTTCCTGCTGCTTCTAGACAGAATCTTACCAAGAGGGAGGACATCACCCTGCAGCAGAGCTGCCTGGCCACGAGAGCTGTCCTTGAGGCGTCACATCGTTCATGTCTCCTCAGACCAAACTCTCACTTCCCCTCTGTTCCTCAGGCTCCTCCTACTGCTAGAATCAGCCTGTTTCCCTGACCATCATTTCTGTGCAAGTTTCCAGAGGACAGTGATTTCCCATCATTCCTGACTTGGATCAGCCCTTCCTGGAATATATCAAGGTCCCAGCTGATTTTGCAAGATGCTAACATTTTATTGAGTTCAGTCCTCTTTGTGCCGGGGAGTGAGCAAGTCATGAAACCACACTTCCACCCCCAGGCCCAATCTCTACAATAAAGACATGACACAGCGGTGTCCAAGAGCTCTTGGTGTCTTGTTCACATCTCTTCCCCACCGGGCCAGCAACACGGTTGTCTCTTTTTTTTCTCTGAGTTCTAAAAGATATCGGTCTCTCCCAAAGCAAGCTTGTCGATGAGCTGAATTCATTTTTAAACCAACAAAAGATAATTAGCTCCTTGTATGTTTTTTGTCTCTGTCTAGAATTTTAAACAGAAAAAAAAAAAAAAAAAAAATCTAGTGGGCCGGGGAGATGGCTCAGTAGAATAAGTGCTTCCCTGGCAAGCGCAAGGGCCTGAGGTCAATCCCCATTCCGGAAAAAAAAAAAAAAAAAAAAAGAAAAAATCTAAAACCCCTTTTCCAGGAAAGAATATAATTCTGAGACCCAACTGAAAGCAAAAGAAGTCGGTGACACATTTTCCAGGAACGGAGCAAGAGCAAGCCACCTGCTTCCTCCCTGGCTGCCATATTACACTGCTCCTTATAACAATTTTATTTTTCTCCCCAGCCACCTCAAGACAAGTAAAATTCCATTATAACAAACTCTAAGGACAGCTAAACTATTTTATTGCGGTAGGATTTTGTTAAACTGAGTACATGTCTAGAATTTATATTTCTAGTCTGTAGGAAATGGAGACAAATAGCTACCAGGGTAAAGCAAGGGAAAGAAACAGCCTGCATTTCTGAGAGGGGCAGGAAAAGTGAAGGAGGAAACCTATAGCTAGACAGTGATTCTTAATATTCTTTCCTCCATCCCCAGCCAAATCAAGGCCAAGAAAATTCACCACAAGTAGTCATTTGTTTCATAGAATGATCCATCCAGGACTTGGCAAGGGCAGGCTCAGAAGTGTGAGGGAGGGTGATAAGCGGCTCAGGTAGTTTCTGTTTCAGCGTGGCTGTCTGTTATGCTCTTCTGACCATCTCATTTCATTTAGAATAAGGGATTATTTTCTGAAGAAAACTAAGACTGGGAAACTTGGTACTCGTGGAATTTCTACCAAGTACTAGCTGTGGATTATTTATTCAAACAAAAGTTCAACTAAAATTCCCAGGCTGGTCTACTAAAAAGGTACTTTTGTAAGTTCCAAATGTTTCATGTATTACAACCTTTGCAGATTTCCAATGCTTGTACCTTTTTTTCAGAGTTGATTTTTGCCCCCTGTGGAGGGATCATGCCAAAACCAAGCAGGTAGCATGTTATGGGGAGCAAGAAGGAAGAAAGATACTGTTATCTAGCCCAGGCATCTGGCCACAAAAGCCCAGCTGGGCAGAAAACGGTCCAGAGAATGTCCTTTCCCTAGTAAAAGAGGAAGCTGAGTGCTGCCTTCTGTAGAGCTTTTTAAAAGTAGCCCAAAAAAACTGAGTCCCTAAGAAGTAATCTGAACACCTGATAGGAAAGAGAAATGTGTGTACAATAACACTTTTGCAAAATTCAACAAACTAGGGGGCCAGGGAGATAGCTCAGTAGAATAAGGTGCCTGGCAAGTGCAAGGTCCTGAGTTCAATCCCTGGTACCACCAAAAAAAAACTAGGAATGGAAGGAACCCATTCCATTTTCATATGTGGTATAATAAAAGCCACATATGAAAAGCCCACAACAAACATCATATTCAGTGGTGAAAGACTAAAAACATTTCCTCTAAGCTCAGGAATAAGGCCAGGATGCTCACTGTTCATTCCTATTCAGCATAGGACCAGAAGTTCTCAACAGAGCAATTAAGTAGGAAAAAGAAATAAAAGGCATTCAAACTGGAAAAGCAAACTTACCTCTGTTCATATATAATATGATCGTACATGTAGCAAACCCTAAATACACCACACAGAGACATCATGATTAATACATGAACTCAGTAAAGTAGCAGAACACAAAGTCAACACATACAAAATCAGTTGCATTTCCACTTATGGACAAAGACCAATCTGAAAAGAAATTTACAAAAATAATTCCATTTAAAATAGCATCAAAAAGAATCCAATACTTAGACATCACCAAGGACATGAAAACTATAAAAAGATTGCTGAAATTAAAGAAGATATAAATAATATTCTATGTTCATGGATTAAAAAAGATTAAGATATCAGTACTATCCAAAGTAATCTATAGATTCAGTATAGTCTCTATCAAAATCCCAATGATTTCTTTTGTAGAAACAGAAAACCCACCCTAGCACAGTGGCTGGGATTCGATCCCTGGTGTGCCATGTCAGCCCCGCCCCTGGGGTGTGCTGAGACAGCAGCGATGGAGACTGAGCATGGTGGTGTGCGCCTGTAATCCCAGCGCTTGGGAGGCTGAAAACAGGAGAATCACTACAAGTCTGATCTATGTAGTGAGACCCTGTACACCCTGTAGACCCTGTCCTAAATTCAAAAAAAAAAAAAAAAGAAAGAAAGAAAAGGAAGGAAAGAAAGAAGGAAAAGGAAAGGAAGAAGGAAGGAAGAAAGGGAGGAAGGAAGGAAGGAAGGAAGGAAGGAAGGAAGGAAGGAAGGAAGGAAGGAAAGAAGAAAAGATCCTCCCTAAAATTCACATAGAATTTTACAAGACACATCCCTCAAATAGCCAAAAAATCTTTAAAAAGAACACTACTGAAGAATTCATACTTCTTGATTTCAAAACTACAATAGTCAACATAATATGACACTTGGCATAAAAAGACATGCAAATTAGTGGAACAGAACAGAAAGTACAGAAGTAAGCATTCATATGTGTAGGCAAACGGTTCTTGACGAGGGTACCAAGATCATTCAGTGGGAGCGGGAAAGTCTTTGCCACAAGTGGGGCTGGGAGAATTGAATGTCCACATACACAAGAATGAAGCTAACCCTTAGCTAACACCACCTGCCAGAATTAACTCAACATGGACTGAAGACTTAAACAGGAGACTACATATACAAAGCTCTCAGAATAAAGCTCAGGGCAAAATCCTCTGGACACTATATTTATCAATGATTCCTTGGATAAATTACCAAAAACAAAAGCAACAAATTACCAAAAGAAAACAACTGGCAAATTAGACCTCCTGAAAATTTTAAACTTTTTTGCATCAAAAGACAGTATTAACCAAATATGATGGTGCACACCTGTAATCCTAACACTCAAAGAGGCTGAGGCAGGAGGATCGCTGCAAGTTCAAGGCCAGCATGCAACTACAAAGTGAGTTCAAGGCCAGCCTGAACTGCATAATGAAACTCTTGTCTCAAAAAGACAAAAAAAAATTTTAAAAAGACAATATTAGCAAGCAAAAGAAAACCACAGAATGGGAGCAAACATAGGGAACACCTACAGTTCAACAACAACAAAAACAACCAACTCAAGAATGGGCAGAAGTCTTGAACAGACGTTTCTTTGAAGACATACAAATGGCCGATCAGTACATGATAAGATGCGCAGCATCACCAATCACTAGAGAAATGCAAATCGCAACTGTAATGAGATGACTCCCTTCCGTGGGTTAGCACAAAACAGACCATCACCAATTTTGATAAGGACATGAAGGATACACAGAGGGGATGGGGATATAAAATTGTTCAGCTACTATGAAAGAATTTGATGGCTTCCTAAAAAATTATTCAGGGTGCATACCTAATTTAAAAAGTCACAAGGTGCTATTTATACTCATCTTTGGGCTGAGGAGATAGCTCAGTGGACTAAAAGCACTTGCCTGGCAAGCGCAAGTTCCCAAGTTCAATCCCTGGTGCTACATGCCATGCTGGCCCCCAGAACCCCAGGCACACCCTGCCAGCCCTGGAACCGGGTGTGGTAGTGCACACCTGTAATCCCAGTGTTGGCATGGCTGAGACAAGAGGATCTCTATGAGTTCAAACTGCATAGCAAGACCCTGTAGCAGCCAGGTTTGATCCTCGGTATGCCGTGCTGGCTCGGCCCGCAAGGCCTGCTGAGACAGCGATTGACACTGGATGTGGTGGCGCATGCCTGTAATCCTAGCACGTGGAAAGCTGAAAACAGGATAATCACTACAAGTCTGATCTACATAGTGAGACCCTGTAGACCCTGTCCTAAGTACAGAAAAAAAGACCCTGTATCAAAACAAGTAATAATAATAAAAAAATACACGCATCTTCATAGTAGCATTGTTCACAATGGCTAAAATATGGGAGCAACTGAAAGATCCGGCAAACTGTAGTAGAAAAATGCAACAGAATATTACAGTCTCAGCAGTAAAGGAATTCTGACATAAGCTATAATAGATAAACTTTGAAGTTACTACGCTAACTGAAATACAATGGCACCTCAGATCACAAATGTAATTTTTTTACAATTTGGGAGAAGATGACTGTGTTTGTGTTTGTGTGAGGAAGATGGCTGTGGTCACGTTTGTCACCTGATGTGGAGTTTGCAAGTAAAATGATGCTAACTGCTTTTCTTGTGAACCAAATTGTTTGCAAATGGAAGCATTTGTGACCCAGGGTCTTACTGTAAAGCAACTGCAAAGGGACAAATACAGTATGATTCCTTTTCTATGAGGGTCTTAGTCACAATCACAGAGACAGCCAGAATGGTGGAGGGAGGGAGCCGGGGGAGGGAGAAGGGGAGCTGGCACTTAATGGGCGTAGAGTCTCAGCTTCTCCAGATGGTCGGAGTTCCGCAGATGGATAAGCAGTGATAAATGCAACACCGCGGAGTATTTAATGCCACTGGATTGCAAATGTATTTTATGATAAAATAATTAGAAAAAGTCATAATTACAAAGCAAAACATTTGGTCAAGGATATTATAAATAAAAACTGCTTTGACTGTTCAGTAGGAAGATGCCAATCTGATTCTGGTAACTGGTGCCGGCAAAATCCTGCTAGAGGCAGGTGCTCTTCTCTCCACAGAGCACGCTTCTCTCCTGAAGTAAAAGAACCCAGAGCAAACATCTGCCACCCCAGCCCACCTCCAATCAACTTCCTCCTCCGTCCTTGAGAAGGGGAAGAAGCCCCTAGGCCACCATTCTGCCACATACAAATTTAAGCCTTTGGTGCCTTCTCAATGTAGCCCAAATGCAGACTGCCTTTA